TATAATTTTAATGTTTTAGTTTTAATTGTTTAATTTTTATTATTTTTATTATTTGATTAAAACTTTTTATTAAAATTCTTAACATGATAGCCGCATTGGTTTTAAAATAGAAACATATTCAATAACTTGCTTTCTGTGTCTTTGTTAACTTCGCGTACCCAGTTTACTCGGTTTTAGATCAGGCTGAAAAAAATCAGCTTTTGCGTTGTAAACGTACGTTTGAAGTCAGAAACGTTTATACATCAGAAGAAAGAGGACACTCGGAAGTAGTATGGTATACATTCTGAGCTCATCTATATGTTTAGAAAATTGATTCTTACGGAATATGAAAGATCCAGTCGAACATAAAATAACAAATTTAATTCACTAAATGCTTATTTAATGTGAGCTATTAGTAATTGCATGACTGTATCTAACAGAGTCCAGTTGTTGAAATGCACACTCAAATTTTAGCGGAAACTGAATTATAGAATATTTGGACAGTCTCGCGCAAACAGAGTTAAAATGATTGTAGAACGAGATCACTTTGTTAGGCACACATACCTATGCATCTTTTTAATTTAAATTGTTGAATCGGTATTTCATCAAACGGAATTTTGCCACCTGAATTTCGGCAATTGTCGAGATTCCGAAAGAACAACAATAATAATTATTACCCTATTAGCAATTCTGCAAGTAGTATTGCTAGAGTACAAATAAAATTCGATCGTCGGGGTTATATAACTTTTATTTTTTTTTGTACTTTCTAATTTAAAAATTGAGTTTAAGGAACTAAGCCTTGCCCTAAGTCTTCTCCTAAGTAAAAGTCACAATGAGCTACGGGATAAAAAAATGTTTTTGTCTGCAAGTCTTACGGTTTAAGCGTTTTTCAGAGATCAAGGTCCAAAAAGGACCCGGCAGTGTGTCCCAAGATGTTTTAATATACTTCAAGCTGGAGAGTTCGGGTTTGTTTTATTTTAAAGTAGACACCTAACTACATGGACTGACAAGAGCCGATATTTTGTTTCAGCCTTTATTGGTTTTTCAGATAACCAACAATCTCCAAAACCCGAAAAATCCTCTATTTGACAAAAAACTAGGATCTAATTCAACAATCGGCGCTTGCTCAATTTTAGGACTTCTAGGAAAATGCCTATAACTATTTGATACAAGGTCATATAGAGCAGCGCGAGGTCTTATTTTCATCAGAAACGTTTGCTCTACAAATCTGTCTGTTCAAAAAAATTCAATTACAAAAGTATCCAGGAATACGCTGTTATTTGAAGATCCGGTTTTCCGAGACTCCTAGACAACTTGATCAAAATCCCCGAAAACTCAGTTCTGTAACCAAAAGCGATGCGGATTCTGAAAGTAGACACCTTAAGCTACCTTTCCATGCGCTTATCTCAAAACCAATTTTTTTAAAGAAAATCACAATTTCTGAGGAGGACCACTTAACGAACAGAGAACCATTCAGTTCAAAATATAGTAGTTGCGAATATTTTTCGAATAAGGAAGTAGCGCCTGCGTTTTAGCAGTTTACGTCCAGCACCTGCGAATATCCAGTTATTAAATGTAACTTTAAGTGCTCACTCATCTCTATATATCATTTAAGGCTCTCCCTGCCAATCAGAAACCTATTTTCCACACAGAATTCTGATACATTTTTAAGAGCTAACCAGAAAACGGTTATAGCTTTTAACGAAAGTCGCACGGGGTTGTGCAATGTTCCATTCTGGCTAGAAAGATTTGCTCTATAGATCTGTGCGCTCAGAAAATAATTTAATTGCAAAAACATTAAAGAAAAAACAAGTATTCGAATAACTTATTTTTCAAGGCTTGTAGAAAACTTTCTCTAAAACCCTGAGAAATCACGTTTTAGGAAGAAAACGATACAGATTCTGACACGATGACAGTTTGGACTACCCAACCATGTATGAATCTCAAAACTGATTTTTTCGACAAAAATCGACCTTTTTGAGTGGGTTGAAAGAGCCTTAAGTATTAATTTGAGAGATCAAAATATTTAGATGCCATCTGTGAACTCTCTTCTCTGCCTTGAGTGTAGAGAAGACATTTTTCTAAATTCTTCTTTTTAAAAATCGAATCTTGCAGGTACATGGGAACGGGTTTCGCTGGATAGTCTTTCGACCCAAAACTTATTGTGTTATACGTGTTTTGATGCACTGATTCCAAAAATATCACTGGTTTTAATAAAAACTTGTGTTGCGCGGAGAAAAATAGAACCAGAATGAAAGAAAAATCATAAGATTTTAGATAACTTCGTGAATGGTCTGACAAAAAAGTGCATTGTACTGTGAGATCAGTCGATTCACAAGAGTGCAGCGACAAAGTTTGAGTCATATAGGTTGCGTGAAAAATGGTGAAAAGTTATTGTACTGATGATTATATTTTTGGAATATCAGTTAGAGAGAAAAATAATTGTTTCTTCTAGATAGACTCATCTTAAAAGAGTTTCTTTTTTATTAATAACATGCTCCGGTCACAACCATCATTTCTCATTACTGTTTTGTGAAACTCCCTCACTATCTTCGAAGAAGAGAGAGTAACAGTTTTATACGTAAAACCCGCTATTTTTAAAATAAATTTGAGTGGGATGAAATAGCCTTAAGTATTAATTGGAGAGATCAGAATATTTAGGCGTCATCTGTGAGCTCTCTTTGCTACACTTGCGGATTCCATGTTAGATGTTCTATCTAATATAGCATCAGACTCTAACTAACATATTCCATTTATTTTAGTTTTGAATCCGAGAATGGTGTTGGTCTGTTCCAAATGGCCGTCCATGAAATTGGCCATGCATTAGGTCTCAGCCATCGAAATGATCACAAAGAATCAGTAATGTATGCAATTTATCGAGGAGCGCAATTTACAGAACTGGCGCTTGTAGATCAAAGAGCTATACAAGATTTATATGGAAGGCGACAAAGTACGTAAAAAGATCTTATTTATAATGTCAGCACATATTAAAACGAGTGCACTTGGAATTCGTTTTGCTTTAATGCATTATCTAATAAACCATAAAAAAACTCAACATGCCTTATTTTTCAGCTTTTCTTCAAACCATGTGGCTTCTGTTGTTAAACTAAAGAGATCGTCACATTATAAGAAAACCATCTTGCACTCAGCATTATAAAAGCAGAAATACCAGAATCTCTTGAGATGCTATAGAGAAAACGTATGTTTCTTTTTGCCTAGAAAGAAGCATCTTTTGTACTTTTCGTTGCTGATAATTTTTGCTTCTGCCGTTTCTACTTTTTGTCTTGCATATTTCCTTTTCCTTGTGTCTTCAGCTATAACAACGAAAGAAGGTACTGGAGACTAAAAAACGAGTTTTCTGCGTTTCCATCATGTGTTCTGACGTTCTAGGCCTCTAACCCTGAAGCAGTCACCCAAAAAAATGTTTAGAAAATGTGCTGGTAGCTTTTCTAAGAACATTAGGCTTATACGTTCACCCATACTTTTATGAAGTGAATAAATTCTAAATTTTATTAAAGTCACTCAGAAATGCTACTTACCGTTAGTACAACAAAATAAATTAGGAATTGTCGACAGAAGGATTTGAACATAGACTCTAAGGTCATATGGCCATCTCGGTTGGAACTTCTGCTCATAGGAAATTGTCTAGATAAAAAAACACGGTCCTAAAAAGGCTTTTAATGGTAGTGGTACTAATTACTCTGTGTTTTAAGATGAACCGGCTGGTGAACAAGCTGATATTTTACTCAGCGACATGCCAATAGCAATGGAAGAAAACGCAATTCATATTGCCAAGAAAGCTGTAAAGAAACATTTTAATGATGCATACATTGTAGCGAAAGAAATAAAAAGAAAATTTGATGAAAGATATGGATCAGGATGGCACTGTGTGGTCGGTTCAAACTTTGCCTCTTATATTACATCGAAAACGAAACATCATTTGTATGTTAAGATTAGAAATCAATGTATATTATTATTTAAAGCGGCGGATTAAGAATCTAATGCTAATTATCTCAATCTGGATAATGTTTTTCAGAATGCTAAATAGTAAATAATTAATATATAGGATTATCATTCAAAAATCGTTTCATTTGTCCACAAGTTCACCACTTCTTACATACTGCTCATATTATTCGTCCTTTTGAAATAAAAACCATGCCTGTCATCATTAGAGTCCTACTAGAGAATTGACAATGTTCATCCACCCATTGAATATTGCGGGTTTGTTATGAGAAACTAGGATAACACTCATTACATAATCTTTTATTAATCAGTCTTGATGTGTCAACTAATCAATTGATGAACCATGTGAAAAGACACAATAATATAGATCAGGCCGCTTTTTCTCTAATCTGAATTTGAGCATCCATTTAAAAGCAGTTCGTATGCTAGATATGTGTGTTCTCCACAACATATGATCTTCGAGTTGTGAACTACTAACGGCTGCAAAATAGAATGACGGCGATTGTTTTCTAAGTAGCTCTTGAACGAAAGGAGTCAAAACGTTCAGATTTTCACCATATTATAAAGGAAAAACTTAGGGCTATCCTTCAGCAGACAGTTTTGCACTCAATTTTTGGTTTCTTTCTCAGAACAAACTTTGCCATTAGATTCAGCATGATCGCCGATGTATGTTCCATGCAGTTTTAAGGCTATGCTAAGTTACCAGATACTAGTCATGAGACTCTAAGGAAATCGCATGTCACGCCCGAATCACTGAAAACTAATGCCTTGCTTTGCTTGCATGTTGAAGAGGACACTTTGAGCTATCTACTCATGTGAAAAATCAAAAAATATTTGTATTTCAAGTTTTTGAGTAATGAACTGCTCTTTCAAGGATCCTCTGAAAATCTCCCTTGAAAAAGATTTTCAGAATGGCTTTTATGATGAAAATGTGCAGTCAGGTCTTGGCTTTCAATTAGTAGAAATCGGAAGCCTCCTTTGAGAATGAAAGAACAGAAGAGCAGGTTCTTGTTTGATTCTTAAAAGTTTCGGTTTCTCACACTCTTTATGACAAAAAATGCTTTTGCAAAATAAAAGCAGTTGTATTTTTGCTTTTCGATTCTGTCTTAAAAGTTAAGAAAGTGATTTGAGTAGATGAAACCAAGGCGCGATCAGAAATATACGAGTAGAAAAAATACCAAGAACAACTTTCGAGAAATTCTAAAAATACGCTCTTTTTCAAAAATTAGAATTTTAGCCCATGCTACTTATTCGAATAGAGCAACCATTAAGCAAAATCGGATTATCCTGTCTTCACAAATCACACATTTATGAAACTTGTAAAAAGTTTCATAAAATTTTTCATTTTTATATAACTTCTGGGTTAAAAAATTCAACATCCAAGTTTCATAAATGTGTGATTTATGTTGTTTCAGAAATAATTACTTAGTTTCTTAATTAATTGTAGTATTAATATATCACATAGAGACATATAACATTATATAATTAGTATATGTCACGTAGAGACGTGTGTTTGTGGTGTTTTAATTGAAAATAATTATGTATTTAATTAAAAACAGTATCACTGTGTCTCTAGATGCTATGTGAAGCTTGTAGAGACACAGTGACTCAACCAAATCGAGCTGCTAATATCTCACCAAGATATGTATGAGCTACTTAGAGACATAGACTGATCGAAATGAAAATATGGAATTCTATTCTAAAACTGCAAATACATTTTGCATTCTCTTAACTCATTCCACCCGTCAACGTATCAGCTTTATCGCGACGTATTGATCTTTTTAATTTTGTCTCCTCACTTAGAAAATTCATTTTCTTCTAGATCAGACGCGAAAAAATCGGATTTACATTTTTCTTGATCAGAACTCATTTTATATGCAATGAAAATATCATATTCAGAATCACCATCAAAAACTGAGTCAAATATATATATATTGCAAAAAAAAACACACACACAACTCGAAGATCATATGTTGGGAACACACGTATCTAGCATACGAAGTGCTTTTAAATGTATGCTCAAATTCAGATTAGAGAAAAAGCGACCTGATCTATATTATTGTGTTTTTTCACATGGTTCATCAATTGATTAGTTGACGTATCAAGACTGATTAATAAAAGATTATTAGTCGATGATGTTGACCTGCCAATCCATGCTTTATCTGACAGTCTTCAGATACCGCCCTCTATCAAATTCTGTACATAGGTTTGCCCTGAGACGCTCTTGAATAGAATTTTATATCAGTTTCATGCTTCTAGTTAAAATAGTTTCCTCTAAATGCAGTTAAATTTTTTTATCTGTCGCCTAGGTCAAGAACTCTCCATGAAAGAAATATCGCCCTATAAAAAAACGAAACTGCTTGTCGTGACGCCATAGATATGTGCGGTTCTACTCAGCCATCCTTCCGCCATTTTCGCTGAAACGTAAACTCAAGAAATCTCCGAAACGGGC